GTACAAAGTTTTATGACGTTTATTTGAAAACTTTTCGAGTAATAACATTTAAAGTGATATCGTTCTCTAACACCCGGAGCAATCTGCAACGTCAAAAAATACAAATGTCAACAGTTCAAAATTTTGTAGAAAATATTTCAATTACCAGAATCAAATTCTTAAATTAAACGTTTCGTTTATATTTATAAATGTGAAATATCTTAATTATTGTGATATGATCAAACATTAAAATATGTAAACAAAGTATATGCATGTACAGGTATGAAATAATAGTAATTTGAAAACGCTACATTTCTACTGGCTTTTCGTCTGTTTTCTCTAAGGGAGTTGCACAATGCAACTCTTGCCAATTTCTTAGCGCCGTCTTTTATTTTAGCTACTGTTATTCACATATACAGAGAGAAACCGTTTTAATCATTTTAAATACTCAGGATGAGAAAAAGTTTCCTAGTCTACCAAACCGTTATGAATGGTACATTTTTATAAGAGTGAATTCAGGATCAAAACACTTGATCATAGTCCAGTGCGCCGCCTGTGCCAACGCAGCCGCCATTTTTTCAGAAAGTCGGATTTCAACCTCATGTATATAAAACGTTATAAAAATCATATTTATCAAAGCATAAACACCAAACTTCGGGGAAATGTAGTTTATAGAACAGTATTAAGAATTTTCATTTCCATTAAAAAAATACGGGGTAGTAATTACTTTTCCGTATGATTTTAAATGTAATGTACCAAATTTTAATTATAACTTTTGGGTATTGCGCCGCCTACGTACACCAGACAATGAAATGTGTCTTTTAAATTGGAATAATTTGTGTAGTTACTCCATATTTGTCCATAAATTTATTAGATAGTGTTGGTTTAATCTATATACGAAATTTCATTAATGTATGACATAGGGTTCCTACAAAACAACGTTTGTCTACGGAATTTTGGGACAACCCTCGTAAATACCACGACATTGTTCCGAGGTGAGCGCTAGACGCATTAGAGAACTTATGATATTGATCCACTCTCCTCCCCGAGTGTTAACATAATCCCTGGGGCTCGTAACATAAAGCTTGCTAAGTTTTTGACTTAAGTAGGGTCATAAGTACGTTTTAGGCACAATCTTAGGACCTGCCTAAGTACTACATAAGTATGTCTTAAACCGTAACATAAAGCGAACTTAGGAAGGTCTTAGCTAAGTCAAACTTATGTTCAAAATATTTCTTATTAGTCCAGTCAATTTAAATTTTACCTGTAACTAATTGCAAAAGAAATAATTTTTTTTGCAAACTACTCTTTAATGTATGTAAAACAACATATAAAAAATCTAAATTTATCTAATGTGCAGAAATATTATATTTTTGTGTAAGAAATTTGTTGAGTGTGCCCTTCGTTTTCTGTCACCGCTGTGCTGTCATAGCGTGCTTTCAGTGACGTAGTCATTGCATATACATTGCCTAGATGACGCTAATTTATCCTTGTTTCATGATATACATTGACACAAATGTGTAAACATTTAATCAATGTGACCCTGTTGTAAAACTATAACAACAAACGAGACGTTAAACTCCTAAAATTCACAAAATACAGGTATAACCGAGAAGTCTCAACACGTGTCGTCGTAATCTGAATGTCACACATTTGGGATTCATTTAAAATTCCTGATAGGGGCTGTAATGCAATTGAAACGAACAGTTGATCAAGAGCTTATTCGTAAAACATTATTTTTTTATGGGAAATAATTAACAAGTAAGGGAGTGAAAATGATTTTTTAACACCGCACTGCTTATTTTGGCTTTCTCAGTGTATGGACACCCATTCTTGTGAAATTGCCATTAGTTATCGTCATGTGACGCTGTAGGTATATCTAGTTGAAATATTCCTCTCATTTTATTTACACCTGTTCTAATATTCTTTTGATAATGGAAAGACAAGAAAAATGTGTCATTTGTGAGTCTGGGGATCAAACTGGGCTTGTTTGTCTTTTTGGGAAGGGCAGTGAAGGTATCAATAATGCTGCTGAGAAAAGGGGTAGCCAATATTTTTTACGCACACATCCTGGACAATATGTACACACAGAGTGCAGGCGTCAATTTACAAATATATTTGAAATCGGGAAATATCTTAGAGAGAGAGAACAAGGCAAGTCAAATCCTCCTGCTGAAAGCACACCTATTCTCAGGTCAAAACAGACTTTTTCATTCCGTGACCACTGCCTCTTCTGTGGACAGACTGCCAAACTCAACCAAAATAAAAGAGGGTATGATGTATATCCTGTGCGAACTCATGATTTCAAGACTAGTATAAAATCTATCTGTTCTATAAGACAAGACGCTTGGGCAGACCAAATTTATGGTAGAATAGAAGCTGTAAATGATTTGCATGCTGCTGATGCCATCTATCATCAAACATGTAATGTCAATGTCAATTAAAGGCAGAAACACTCCTAAAATATTTTCACCCTCCTCGACCGAAGCCAAGAGAGGAAGACCTGTTGACAGTCATATTACCGACTGTAAAAATGTAAATCTTGTATAGAATTTAAGGATATCCGCTCCTCAGCCAAGAAGGATATATATATTTATCACATATTTTCCCATTTATCACGTTGATATAGCTCATGTGATATCATTTTCGTATCAACACTATGTACTCCTACGCCGCTCGACTTGATGAAAATAAACAGATACATGTGTATGATAGAGGGAATGACTTAGTTTGTCAAATTTCACTTTATTTGATGTATTTTAACAAAATTTCATTCCTGAACTAAAAAAAATAAGCGCTGAAATATTTTCTTTCTATTATATATGAATCACCCTATATTTTTTCATTTTATTCCGATATATTGCTACAGAATGATTCGGTTACGTTTTAATTAAATATTTATAAAGGTTAACGTCCTTACCTATCGTTTTAGTTATGTAAGATTAGATTTTGTATTAAAGATATAATTTAATTTGCTGTAAAATACACTGCATATTTGATTAAGAAAAAATACTGAGCGGTCACAAAACGGTGATCTGTGGTTCATTGTAAATGTATGACTATTGTTTATCCCCCGAAGCTGCGATGTTTTCAGTTACCGTTTATTGTTCTTTTGTTTTGACAAATGTTCACTTGCTTTGTTATTCTCGTAGACATGACAAAATAACCGAACGTCTGTCTACATGAAATTAAAACTCTAAAAAAGTGCAAAACATTTTGAATCCCCCCCCCTCCCCCATGTCTCAGTCCATGTCAGCAAGCAAAGATTGGAGTAGTTATAATTATTTTATAATTATTTACAATTACATCAAGAGTGGAAATTCTTTCAGGACATCTTTTCTCCATTTACTTCTCTCTCTCTCTCTCTCTCTCTCTCTCTCTCACCCACGAAGCTCTGTCTCTTGATCAATCGATCGAACACTAGGAAACCCTGCCTAAATATGCTCTTGTCATTCTACATTTATTTTAATTTACAGACACTCTTTATTAGTTTTTTTGGTCATCATCCCCTTACTCCCCAACATTTTTCTATGTTTAAAAATCTATTTCATCTCATATTTTCAAAGTCAACATACAGATCCATGAATTAGACTATTACTTTACGTGTAGAATTTACTTATAATGATTAGTGATTAGTGTTTATACCGATCTAGGTAGGTCCCACTAATTTCAGAGGTATCCCCCAAATTAAATTGTGCATTTTCATGTTCGATGTCTTGAGTGTAATAGTGGAATCATTGATCAGTAACCCCCCCCCCCCCCACCACCCCGACCCAATAAATTCTCATGATAGTATTTAATAGGAATTATTATTTTCTTAAATGCATAATATGAATAGGGAAATGCTTTAACACCGAAAGTCAGCATAAAATAGTTTTGAATAGATCTATAAGAAAGTTAAGATATACTTAAGTCACCTTTACCGGCCGCCTAAGTTTTGCTAAGATTGTCAAATCTTAGCACGCTTCTAGTTACGGTCTTAAGTTTCAGACTGTATTTAGGAAGGTCTTAGCTAAGTCAAACTTATGTTCAAAATATTTCTTATGAATCACCCTATATTTTTTCATTTTATTCCGATATATTGCTACAGAATGATTCGGTTACGTTTTAATTAAATATTTATACTGAATTAGAAATATTTTATCGAATGTCTCGAAATGAAGCCTGAATTTTCGAAATTGAATTTGTCCATTACACCGATTTTTATATTCCACGTGTCTTAATGTGCGGTTTTAGATTCTTTGAATTCTTTAAAAAGGGTATCGTAGAAAGTAGAAATTTGCACCCCATAAAAGTTTCATTATCGATATACAGTACTTAGCCATTCCAAGTTTTTTCTATGTTTAGCGTCCGCGTGCGCCTTGGTTTTTGACACCCCATATAAGAAAAAACACACAACATCAGGAGTCTTGAAGTTGATTAATTTAGTCAAAAGTTTTGAATTTTGTCATACTCTTCAAATAATTTTGTACAGTAAGTTATATTGGGTGTATTTTAAGCATTTAATCCTTTGTTTTTGCCTAAGAATAGATATTTCTTGTATTAAAGCAGTTTTAGTTAGATCGATTCATTTGAAGGGCTTCATATTTATGACTTTTAAGCCTGTGTTTTATGTTTTGGTTTGTGTGTTTTTTGCGAATAGGTAGGTAGGTTTTTGAAAGATGGGTGGACGCTAAACAGAGAAAAAACTTGGAATGGCCCAGTATTGGTCGCCCGCGTGGCGCAGTGGTTAGGGTTTGAATCCCACTGAGGGACGTGGAGACCGGTCCTTCTAGGATGAGACCGTATAATTCGAGGTCTCGTGTCGCAGTAGGTGCTGGCACGAAAAAGATCCCTCACTGCTCAACGGCCCTAAGTGCCGAGTATAGGACACACTTTGTAGCTCTCCACCTGCAAGTGGTGGCGTCTCCATATAAGTGAAAAATTCTCGTGAGGAGCGTTAAACAACAGAAATCAATCAATCAATCCAGTACTATTATTTTAAGTTTGTGTAGATTTTTTTAACAGTATTATATAGATGCACTTTATATAAATTTCATTTGATCACACTTTTCAACTTCCTTGGTGCTGATAAAACAAACGTTTGGACCTTGATCATCCAAACACTGGTTGTTTCTCTTTCATATCCCAATAATTACTACATACATATATAGGAGACCAGTGGGTTAGAACTCAGGTAATAAAGAGTTAGAGGCACATACATGTATAGAAGGAGGTGATTGCATTTGGTTTCTTAGATACTTTGTGTTACTATTAATGACAAGAGGTCCAAAGGCCACATTGCTCACCTTAGCACTTCGCTAGGAAAAAAGCAGATATCAGTTTACTATTGAAAAGTTTAAACCAAAAGGTGGTCCCAACGAATCCTTAAAGGCCTGGGGAGAGGGTATGATTTGAACAAACTTAAATCTACACTAAGTAAGGATGCTTGCATATTTCTTTGACTGTTGCTTTATTGCCCTTTACATTTGAACTTACATACCCCCCCCCCCCCCCCGTCTAACTAAAATATGACAAATCATGACTTTGCTGTCTTTGAAAAAAAATTCCTATATATTCCTAAGTAAAACAGTGCTCATCAATTGTGGCCATTGAACAAACTTGAATCCCTTTCACTCAAGGATGCTTTGTTGCAAGTTTGGAAAAAAATCGGCCCAGTGGTTCTTGAGAAGAAGTCGAAAATGTGAACAGTTTACAGACAGACGGACTACAGACAAAATGTAATCAGAAAAGCTCGCTTGAGCTTTCAGCTCAGGTGAGCTAGTAACACTCCAGCTGTTCTAGATCTGTATAAAAAGGACATGTACAGTATATACAATGTGCATCAAGCGGCATTGCACTTGACCTGTGGATTCACTGTAATGCCTAAAGATAAAATTATTTTTAAAAAATAATGTGAAGAAACTAGGAAAAAAATGTGTATTTTATGGTGTTTTTAGTTTAGTCATAGAAAAAAGCATCAAATAACAATGGAATAATATATTAGAAAAATGCATTTTTCCATGAAATATATATTAGTTGAAAAATAAAATTATGACTCACTTATGGCTAGGTACTGTAATTATTAATATTTCAAGGTCATAAGAGGACAGGTACCTTAATCTGGATTTAATCTTCTTTGAACCGTTTAATCGCATATACTGTAGGATTTCATTGTTGAAGTTGCTGGGTTTCAGTCAATCAGTAAATCATTATCTATACGGGAAAGCAGGTCTCTCTTTTAAAGCCAAAGACGAAATCACATCGATCGCAAGCGTCAAATAAGCGTAAATAAAATAACTTGATTTTTTTTTCTCACAAATCTTGTACCTAGAAAAATATCCTTACGTAAGAAAAACACTTATCTATAAATAGCTTTATATATACATGTATTTGAGTATGAGTATATATTCATTTTTATTTATTTATTTATCGAATATTTCATCGTCGGAAACCCACGGGTGATCTCGTCTAAAGTCACTTATCAAAGACGATATCACCCGTGGGTTTCCGACGATGCTAATATTCATAAGTTAATTAATTTATTTGTTTATTTATTTTGATGAAAATTATTATAAAATGCTCTTAAAACATTCTTTAAAATATATGGATGAAATATGAAAGTTCAAAATTGAAACAAAATTAAGTTTAAAATCCACAAGACATTTAGTGCTTGTGGACAGGAATCCCCCTTCAACCCCCCATCACTTAAATTCCAAAATATAAACCCCTGGTCCAATTAAACTTTGATTTGTCTATTTCCATAAATTATCTTGTAGTATATAACTATATATTTACCATGATGAAAAAATATAATATAGAATTCAGGTTTAATTAAAAAGCATACCATAATTTAATTTTTCATATATATTTATGTTTGTCACAATACAGGCTTTTCGCTCGCATTGATCGCTCATCTTCTTTAACAGGACAAACATACAAATAAAATCAATAAAAATATCTATGTTAAGAACATTCAACAGTAACCTAGCTGACAAATTTGACCCACTATGGATCTACATGTATCTGTAATCTATTAATCTCAATGTCTTTTCAAAGATAAGAAACCCCATTTGATTAACAGTGCTATTGACCTTTCTTAAATAAATTATAGATCTTCTGGTGATGAACTTCCCCATGGTCAAACAACCAGTCCATTTCTATGGACCTAAGCGTACAGGGGCTCCACAGAACCTCCTAGACTGCGAAAAACAGATCCGGGATGTGGACGCCTTCGTCATAGTGTCAGCCGAATACAACAACAGTATTCCTGCCTCTCTGAAGAATTTCCTAGACACCTTTCCCGACGGATCTTACGGCTTCAAACCTAGTGGTTTAGTGTGTTATTCCATGGGTATGTATCATATACAAAGCATTTTTCTTGATATTTGAAGCGTAAATTTCTATATACAATGTACATGTTTATATACAAGTGAATATACGATTATGATTACTTTTATCATAGGTCTTGTGCATATTATGTAACATAGTATGTAACACCGCCCCCCCCCCTTTCCCAAACGGATAGCAAAAAGGATTGCAATAGCTGGACGTTCTTTTTACCTCAAGAAATCACAAAAACTACCTAAAATTGTAAACACCTGCGATTGCCTGCTAGCGACTTTTATCTTAAACTATGAGTGTTCATTGGTGTTCAGACTTTGCAATGTCAGATAAAAACATATCATTATCAAACAAAATTTTCTTTAATTATCAATGTATTTTATGTCACACACACTTCTTTATTTAGGTCCCTATGGAGGGTATTGTTCGTCTACGTCACTAAGGACCGTCATGGGAGTGCTGGCCTCGCCCTGTGTATCCCGAGTACTCGCTATCCCTTTTGTTCAGGATGCTATTGATGAAGATGGGAAGGCTATAAATGAAAAGTTAAACTCGGAGGTGGATCCAATGTTACAACAACTGGAGTGGATGGCAAACGCCACTAAGAATCATAGACTGAAAGCTGGACTACCTACCTCATCTTTCATGTTCGGGTCTTGATGGAGGATGTTTTAGGGTTTTTTTTAAATTAGGAGAAACCTGATCTCATATTATAACGAAAAATGATGCATATGAAAATGACATAAGTGGCATTTATGTATTATATTTTAAGACAGCTAAAGAGGACAATTCAAACGTAACAAAAGAATGCGAGACGTTCTCGAAAAAAATGAAATGTACTGCACTTTATATAGTTTACCATCCCACTCATATGATTATAATTCGTTGTGAAAGATACTTTTGTAGAACTTAACCGTCTGTCTTATTTAAACTATTGTTATTTGAAGGAGGACACATTGATAAATCACAATTGCTCATGAACATACCTTGCATGCAATAAGAGATATAAAACTACATAACATGTACAAAAATGTCACTTTTCCTCAAAAGATATTGTATTTTCTGAATAAATTGTAAAACATATTTTTTTATCAAATATGTTTTGTACTTTTACATATTTATTTACATTAAAACACGTCTATAGTTTTTAATTTGCTATAAATGACTTTATCATCAAACTTCAACTTTCTTACTTAAAATAAAATTGCTAATGCGCCAATCAGTTGAATTCATGAAGCAAGTGTGAACAGATCAATAAATCTGATTTTACGAGTGAATTCAAATATGTCTCGTGGATTTTCTTGTCTGCAAACCACTTTCCGAATCTGATGTTGCTAGTCAACTTTCTACTTTAATTTTTAATCATTGATACGTGTGATAAAAATTAGAGTTAGTTACAAATCTAGATGGAGGACAATGAAGTTGCAACAGAAAATGTTCTAAAAAAAATGTGGAGAGCACTTATGGCTAGGCACTGTAATTATTAATATTTCAAGGTCATAAAGGGCCATCTGGAAACACGTTTAATTCAAACAATACAAACTTGGAGCAGAGGAAACATATACCTCAACAAAAAATCGGAGGTGGATCAGATGCTAAGGAAGAGAAGTATCACTTGTCGACCGGTGATACCCGCCGTGTGCTTCTTGTCCTAATGGTCGCCCGCGGTGCAGTGGTTAGACCGTCTGTTCTGAAGTCGGAAGTAAGAAGTTGATCCTTACGTCACGGGTTTGAATCCAACTGTGAGACGTGGAGACCGGTCCTTCGGATGAGTCCGTATAAACCGCGGTCCCGTGTCTACCAGTGCAGTAGGTGCTGGCGCGAAAAAGATCCCTCACTGCTCATGAACCTTATTGCCGAGTATAGGACAAAATTTATAGCTCTCCACCGGTCAGTGGTGGCGTCTCCATATGAGTGAAAAATTCTCGAGAGGGACGTTAAACAATATACAATCAATCGATAAATCTTGTCATAATATAATTGGGCAAACGAAAAATCCGTAGAAAATTCAACTATGTAAAAATATTGGTCTTACAACTTGTATGAAAAAACCCAGTCAACATTTACCATAAGGACGAATTGTATTAAATTGCTGACAAGGCCTTTATATCGACCATAGAAGTTGAGAAACGGTGACTTAATTTAAATGAGACTGTTCATATATTGTATCATCAACTTTTTGGTCAATAGCTTGCCTCGTTTTAGGAAGTGTTAGTACGTAGATCATGCTCCTGTTTATACTATATAAACCACTCGCGAGGTAATGCCACTGAAGCACTGGGTCAAAAGTGGGTTATCTTTGAAAACACATTCATGTTAATGTCGCAATGACCATGAAACCAAAATGTCAAAGTACTTAATGAATCTTAAATACCAGCCATCTCAATGCTGGGAAGAAATGCTAGGATCTTTTTTCTCGGATTGTGGTTGAACTAAACATAAAAATAGTAAAACAATGGTATAGTTTTAGTTCTTAAACTAATCTTTATTTATAAAATACATGTAGTTTTAAATTAAAGTATACAATACAATGTAAATGTTTTTAAAAGGAATACAAATATACGATATAAATACGTTTACCGGGTTTACACAATAAACTTTCATTTACCGTTAAAATGTATACTGAGACCACATGCTTGTTTGTTACAAAAAATGGATAATTATTAAAGAAATATTTTAGAGGAATGTTACACCTGGTCTGTGTCCTTAAAGGTTAAACTAAGGTCAACAACGGCTTAAGAAGAGACTCTTTTTAACTCTTCTAAAGAATGAAACAAAATATTCACAATTTTTTTTTTCTTTTAGAAATTCTCTGTACACCGTAAGAAACATTTTGAAGGATAAGGGCACGCAATTATCATAGATATAGACTGACGCAAGTCTCACGACTACTGAGATAGGCAAAATGGAAAGTTTATAAAGTTGACATTACTTGATGTATTCATTTTATTTATATCAATTGACCAAATTAAAACCTCTGGTGGGCGTTAAAACTATAATAAATTGCTTAAATTGAGAAAATGCATTTCTTAATTGTTAAAAACTCCAGAACTGGAACATTGTGGTTTTCCATATTAGCCTTTGATCATATAAAATAAATTCAATTTTAACTGAAACGTAATATTTTGATAGAAATTCATGAAAGTATTAATGTAATTGGTGTCTGATGGAGGCATTTCTAATGATGTTGGTTACAATAATTTAAATAATCTTAAAATTTTTGCTTCTTTTTGTTATAAATGTTGCAAAAAGATGAACAAACATAAACTTTTTGGCGACCATGGCATTCAATAAACATTAAATGACAATTTGACAATTGCAAGATTGTACCGAAAATTAGAGGCAACCAAAAATGGGATTGGCCATGGACGGATGCCTTACACATTGCTGAAAAGTAGGCTGATAGTCGTAATCACTTTATCATTTGAGAGGCATCAGCACCGTTGCAAACTCTTTTTCCACAATTGATTACCATGGTAGCCATAAACAATATGCAATAATTTTATGAATTTGGAAATTGATTTTTGGGCAAGATATAGTGTGGCATTTTGATGGTCCTAGCAAGCACTTTTACTCTGGCAAGAAAGCGTATGACAATTACTCCTGTCAGATAAGCAAATATACATGTACATATACATGTAAGATTGGCATTTTAAATAATAAATGGGGAAAATATGGCCTCAAAGTCAAATTGATTGCACTATTAAAAAATCAAAGGACATCATAAATATAATAATTAAATCATGCATATATTTTATACAAAAGGATAAACTTTATAAATAATATGCTTAGTATGTAAAAGTAGAAATGTAAATTGGTATAAATATTTTCTTTCCAAATAACATTAAAAAAAGGAATATAAAAATGAATAGTAAAAGCTGTCAAAAATATAAATATATATCATGAAAATACATATTCAAAATTTGATAAATTAACTTTGTACAGTTAATTTACTTATATTTTTGACTTCCTTATGTATCACTTAATCATTGCAAGTAATTAACATAAAGTACCTACATGTATACTGAGATTCCATATTAATTAAACTCGATGAGCATAATACAACATTCCTACTGTTACTTTATACACAAAGCAATATTAGCCTTTGGAAGAACAACAAATACATAAGTAGTAGCAAACTAGGGCGCGTCGCACAGACTCGCAGACTCGCGGATTTTGGAAAGTGTGACGTCATGGGAATGTATGGTATTTATAGGGTATTTCACTGTGTGACGTCAAAGGAAAGTCGGATCGATATTTTCAGCTCTGGCTGCAAGGTTTTAGAAAGGAACGCAAAGTATAACTATTTATTATCGTCTTACAAACAGCGTGACAATTTTGCTTGATAGGGCGTGCTAAACTTTTGTCTGCTGATTATCATTTTTACTCATCGATTGGATGTTTGATTTCAAAAAATTTTTGCATATGAATCATAGAACCCAACAGTACTACTGACAATACTGACCAGACGTACTGAATCACATGTTTACTGGCATTCAGTGAACAACAATTACACGTGGACGAACAAAGCAAGTTTTACAACCTGTAATGATGATATTGATAGCTACATAGTACAACAGTAGCAGAGTAACCTTACTTATTCCATTCTCTGAATTTTCTTGTACGTATATAAAACCAGCCGGTCAAATCATAACAAATATAATACTGGCTTTTTTTTGAGGACAGAGAACGGGCTTTGACTGACCACGTGTTGCTGGTGAGTACAAATGCCGTACTGGTGAACAATCATTCAATGTGATTGGCCAGTATTCTTAGGATATTGTTGTATTCTGAGTTTCATATGCAAATTAGTATTGATTCCATTGAAATAAAGCATCCAATCGATGAGTAAAATGAAAATCTGCATACAAAATTTTTCCCATCAAGCAAACTGTCACACTGTTAGTAAAAGATAATAAGTATCAGGCGAAAGGTGAAAATGAGCGTCAACATTCAAGCACTTTAAATGTTAAACATTGACCCATGGTCAGTGCAGAAGCTACATTTAACTCGGACCTTTAAACCATACCTTAAAGAATGTATAGGCTACTTTATAAGAGAAACTGAATATAGATTTCCTTGTCATTAAAAAAAAAGAGACAGATAACTGTAAATGGAACGGACTAAACAGGAATTTAAGTTTTAGCACATACCTTAACTTAAACACGTGACTAAAAACAAACAAACAAACAAACAAAAAAACCCGAATGCAATAGAAACTTTAGCTATCAATATGGTTGTAGTTACTTAACCAGAATCACTCCGAACTTCAGTGATAAACAATCCCTAATTTTTAAGTAAATCATTTTTTTTTTTGATAACTTGGAAGGAAATGGATGATTTTATTGTGTTTTAAAAAGGGTTTCAATAGTCAAGATGGCTATTTATCAACAATTTTAGGAGGGAAATTCTCTGAACTTTTGTAAATGTAAGAAACTGTACTGCATAAGAGGAAGAACCGTTCACGAGACTACTTGTATCGTGGGATTATGTACAAAAGCATGGGAAAAGATGAGGGAACCTCTTGATCATGCTAACCATGTATTCATGGACTAACATTTATTTTGCTTTTCTCTTCGCCGAAGCAAAGAGATTTTTTTTAATTTAGAATTTGTAAGTGGTGATGTGATGACCGGTGTTTTCTTAAATAAAAAACACATAAGGTAATTCCCCATTAACGAGTATTGTATCATGGCTGCGGTGTTTTTCCTTTGAAGTCAAGTGTACAATAACTGGAGATACACCGATGGGCGGAGCCAGCAAAAACTGTGCCGTGTAAATAAATTATTGAACACTTAGGCGATTTCATCAATTTAAATCACATGTGTATTGAATCTGAATTACACAATGAAATGGGCTTTACAAAGGCTAAATTTCTGCAAGTGAAATAAAAGTCTTTTACATAAATTACAGTGCATATTCCTGACTACGAAATGCTTTTACGGAACTCTGCAAATATTCAATCCTCCACAACGAGAAATCAAGTTCTTGACATGA